TAGTAGCGAGAAGTTACCGACCCGCACTTATAAGGTGGAGGGTCGAACGGAGGTGTCTTGACGATGGAAGTGGACTGTAGCTGGCGAAATAAAACCTCTCAAGATTCGTTGTCGAAGAAAGTCGGTGTGCGCTGGTAATGGATGGCCGGTAAGAAGTCTTCAAGATCCAGGGAGAACCGGAAATCTCAGTACCAAATAAATCGCACCAGTAAAGTTAGTTTTAAACAATAATCACTATGAATTGATTTCAATTATTGAATTTGATCCACCTGGATTTGGTGAAATGGGCCATTACAAGGCACATTGCAAACGTGGGAATATATGGCAGTGTTACAACGATCTGAATAATAGAATTACAAAAAGTAATAAGAAAGTAATGTGCTGTATAATATATTTAAAGTGAAGAAACACAACTTCTTTTTATTAAATTATTATTGTTAGTCAATATTTGTTTTATTTATTGCATTAATCACTTTAAATAAGTTTGGGTATTGCATAAGCAGGTAGTGGCGTCTGTTCAATACACATTATGCACTTGATTTCGAATTTGCTCGTATAATTCTACAGGCGTTCAGTTTTAATAATGTCTGAACGATCAATTGATTATAACTCTTTATCCTTAAAAGCTAGGAGGTCCTAAATGATATATATTAAGGTAGCAACCTAGTAGCAACTATTGCTTTAAAAACATCTCTATTTAGTTGCGCAGTCTGTTCTCACTGGATAGGTGACCAGCCATTCTGACGTCAGAATGGCTGGTCACCCTAAAAAGTAGTTTATTTTGTTTTAATCGGGGGTAGCAACTATGTAACGATTAGTAGCAATTAGAAGCAACTAGGTAGCAACTTTCTTTAATTATTTCGATGTAAAATATGGGTAGTGACCGGCCATTCTGACAGTATTTAAATTCTATTATTAAATCATTTGAGTCTTCTAATTTTTAGTATATTTGGTTACTTTTCACCAATGGTCAAAAATTCTGGTGGTTGGGGCTTCTTGTCACTATACGGGAAGACCTTTCGGGAATGATGAAATTTATTTTTTGTTCATTAGAGACAAAAATAATTGTTATCGTCATCATCATCGTTAGTGAACTAATTCATTCTTATCAGATTGATTTTAGTCAATTAGGTTCATCTCAAAGAATTCACGGAGCGATTTCGATCATGAGTCGTAACATGTGCTTTTGTTTAGTTTGCGAGCATTCCGCAGAAAACTGAGGTCTCGTGTTTTGAAATAGAACAGCTCGGCGGGTGCGGATAAACTGTTCCGTGAGTTTTTAGGCTGAGGTTTCTGGGGTTAAAATGAAAATAAACAATATTCAAATGATATGCAGGTAATAGTAATTATACATTCATTTATTAATCTGAATTTAATACTGTATTACATAGAAGAAATGCACTTCTTAGAAACATCCAGAAGACTTCCCTTTGGGACAGTTATGTAAGGAGCTTCTCTCCATATAATTTTATAAATTGAATAAATACAAACTATGTCGTTCGTCGTAATATAATCAATATTTTATGAAGATCTGCATTGCCACATACTTAAAAATCTATGTATATTTTTCACGTACTTGCAACGTTTTTGAAAATAATTCTTAATAGTAAAGCATGAAAGTACGATTGCCTATGAGATATGGGTTGAATAAATAAATATTTGCAAATTAACAACAAAATAATATAATACTCTATGTAGTGTTTAAACTGCCGCTGCTGCTACCTAATTTGTCAACAACATTTTCCATCACAACAAAATGTATAGAAATTAATGAATAAAAACAATGACGATATTTTTCATCAATTTGGTGACCGCATAGAAAGGCGTTTTGACACATATCCAACATAGTGAATACTCAAATTAAAGAGAAACACACAGCAAGAGAGAAATATTCTACCAATAAATACAGACATCTTAATTCATTCAGTCAAAGTGGAACATGTATAAAATATTTATCAATAAGAAATAATCAGTCTTGTTTAGAGAAAACGTTTAGTCAAAACACACCTAAACGGTTGCGTCTCGATATCTTTATTTTATCACAATACAGTATGTCAGATATGATGTCATCCCTTCACTTGGACGTAACTAGTATATAAATCGCCTGCTACGCTACTTAGTGTTATTATCACAGTTGTTTAGTAGAGGTGGGTGCAGTACTTTGTACATAATAATACAGGAGCTACCTACGACCGCGACAATACTCGACACGACACGCACCTGCCGCTCCAATATGCATGCAAGCCAGCCTGATACGCGCCTAATAAAACTGCGACGATCTAATGTCACCAGACCAGCACTTTCAAAATCATCTCTGAGATGAGTTAAGCACATATACACATCCTTTCATGGCAGTCTTTCTCGTAAAATGTACACAAATAACAAAGCAAATCCCGCAGTAACGAATGCGAGACTCACGAACACGATGTTCACCCCTTATCGCTCCGACCCGTAGCTTTACATCGTACCTGAGATGTACCAAAAACGGGATTCTTATAAAGATAATAACGTTTACGTCCCTTTTGAACTGGTTCAATTTCGTCACCTAACAGTAAACTGAAAACTAAATTGAATAACAATAAATTATTAAATCTTATAACTATCATATCATTATATTATATCTGTGAACGACTTGCGAGCTTTGATGTCACAAACATTCATGAAATTCGTTCAAATAGTCAAAAAATATATCTTTTTGTCTAAAACACATTCCGAGAGCAGGAAGTGTTATATGTATTCATAACAATTGACCAAACGCAACGACAGGTTATTTATAGTAATGACATATCACAGATTTTTCAAATCTTTGGACAGTAACGGGCCTCTACAAAACATTATTACTGCTTCAGTAGATAATTTGTACCTATTGACATCCTATTACATATTAAGCCCTTAGAACCCGTTTACGTACAAAGAAAGTCCAGGAATAACTAGATGAATATCTGGAATCACATCCTAAAAATAATCGAAAATCAATAGAAGAAAATACTTATTTTGCTAAGAAACGAAAGCAATCATTGTTCGATTATTTATCACGCTCAAAATACTAATCTCCCTAAGATAAATGCATGTTATTTACATACTTTCTACATTTTTGAGTATGGTAAAATCAGCTTTGAACATTTCCATAGTTCAACTGTTGTCTAGTCCAATTGACACAGACTATATAATATCCTAGACTTCTATCCTCATTAAAAAAATAACCCTGAAATCAGTGACTGAAATGTCATTGACATCACTTTTACATAAGAAAAATATTCACAATTTTATCTGGCAATACAGATTGTTACAAGGAAGTATATTCAAAAAGCTTTTAATTTAACACGTTTTATAAGTATTAATTCTCTAATTCTAAGTTGTCCCACTTCACTGGATAAGATCAATTTATAAGTAATAAAAATAATTTATATAAAATATCTCAGATAAAGTTTTCTATCCCTTAAACCCCTTTCTTCTATAATTTCACTCATCTTCTTTATGTTTCGTGCATTTCGTACATCATACAGACAATTTAAAGAAAAACGAAAGGCACCCGGGATTACACAAATAGGGTACCCACACCAACTACTCTAAAATATAATCATTAAATCTAAAGGTAGAACAGACACAGCTGATGTTCCACCACAATTATTTTGGATTCAATATTCTCTACTGGCCACAAACGCATTTCGTCCAAAACTATGTGAAGACAATCATATTCGCAAACATGAACTCATAATTCGAGTTTCACACTCATACTATACTCCTGTTTGTACCGACAAGGCGAATGTGACGCAATATAGAACGCAATCCGTTATAAAACTAACACACAATATTATACTTGTTAATTCAAGTAGATCTGAAAAGAATTCACAAAACGTTACCATTACTATGGTGCTGTTGTAACTCACGGGGACAAAGTGAACATCCATAAAATAAGTTACAGTTTATAGGAATAGTATTGTCCATCCTTAAGTGCTATTTTGTAAGCCTTCATTCAGATCTGCAATATATTCTAATTATAATATATAATATTAAAAAAAACTAAAATATCATAAGAGAAAAACACAACATCCCACATTGTCAGAGGATTTTAAATTTACACATCTAAGTACATCGAGACAATCAGATTAAAATTTGAGATAATTTTAAGCGAAATTTAACTGTAGAGAGACTTCGAGACGAGAGATGCGTCCTGTACCCCAAGCAAAAACTAGCCAGAAAGTTTTCGTAACGCAATTTGTCACGATACACTATACTACCGTGATATTAAAACAGCACATAGAGAAATGATATTACAAAAGATGTAGGCAGTTTAATTTATTTTTATTTGTGTTATTTAATATTAAAGGGCTTTATCGACTTAGTCTGTGTCAAATCTTTTAAATAATAATAATATTTTTGCCTCGTTATTTGACAGATTTTTAGGTCTCATGCAAAAAAATCTGACAAGAAAAAATATTTTAGGATAATCTCGGTTAGTTGCTATAGAATCTTGACGTTGGCGACACGAACACGGATCTGTTAGTTAGTGCTTGAGATACTGCCTACGACTCGAGTACGAAGGCGCCACTGTATGAACCGCGCAATGTCAGTCACCGACTACACAACCCCCCGACGCCAATGATGGACAAATAAATCATCCAATCAGAGTCGACCACTTTCTTGACCAGACAGGTTCGGATCAATCACCAACCATCATCATTATATATAATTTACTTAAATTATAACCTTGCATTAGCTAATCCAGGCGCAATCCCTGTGCTTCGTCTTGCCTCGGGCAGTTGCGCAGTTGTTAAGAGCCCTTTTACAAAATTGCTGATTTGGACAAAATTTATTTGAACTAGTATTTATATTGCATTTTACGGGTGATGTTTCGAATCTAATAAAATAATAATTAATGAACTTATTATAAAAATATATACATATATCAGTAGTTCAATGATTGTAGATTAGTTTTATGAAAGTTTTTGCTATTCTATTTAATTCAATATCAAAATACGAGGTAAACCTGCATTACTTTTTGGGAAAACTCACGGAGGTTAGATGTTTTTTTTTTAATAATTAATGAGATGGAAAATCAAGATTCTAATACATTATATTACAACAAAACATATTTCTGATATAGTGTAGTAATTCATTTGATCTAATTTATTGAACATTATTCAGAGATTGATGCCTTAAAGTTGTGCATATTATTGTTTTTCCCTTAACTAGCTGCTTACAATAGGAAGAATAAATCTACTCTTTACTTCTATTGGAAATAGTCAAAATCTTTTCCAAGGGGGTAAACACGGCGCTCAAAAATTAAGATTTTTTGCAAAAAATGTGAAAGGGCTGTAAGCGTCCAGGGGCTGTGTAGGCTGTGGTGTCAGTGATAGTGGTTGTGTGTGTGGTTGGATGTCGCATGGTGATTTACTGTTGCACGGGCGCGGCATAGAGCAGCGGACCGGGCGGGAGATGAGCGTATGGCACGCTTGCGCCTACTGCCGCCTGGTAACCGCACGGACCGCCTCCGCCGACGCCGCCGCCGTAGAACTTACCACCTGACCAAAATTATACAAAATTTACAAAGGCTCTCAAGACAATGTCGTCGTCTGATAAAGATGAAGATGCTCTTGCTTATGCTATGCCACGTGTCACGTTGCTTAGGTGGGCACAGCGCCTAAAGGTGTCTTACAGACACACGCGGCTTGTCATTAATGGTCGCTAGAGTTTGACCACTCGCTTACATTGTAAACGAATACAACTGGCCGCAGACCGCGTTTGTCTGTGAGACAGTTGAATCGGATTCAAACAGTGAAGCCGCGTTTCCACCGGCAAAAAATGTCCGGACAGTCTGTCCTTGCAATACTGTTGTGAGCGTACTTGATAAGTTGTTTACATTTGCAAGTTGCTTTCAGATGTTTCTTGCAGTTTGCAAGTGGAAACGCGGCCTGAGAGAAGTTAACAGAGATAGATAAACCTGACCCTAGACAGCTTTGTTGTAGAACTTTATGAAAATAAATTGATCAATTCTTAGGATATCATTGAAATCTGGAGTAGATAGTACAACTTTCTCTCCTTTATTCTTTATAGATGGTACCTATCGCGGAATTTTGCGCTCTGTCACTTGGCGAACAAAATGCTTTGAACGGTTTTCTACAGTAGTTTTTACTACGCCCCGCCTTCGCGTCGGACGCGCCAATCCGGGCCGCCGCACTAAAGTAAGACAGAGAGCATTTCATTGAATGAATAATGAATTGAATTGCATTTGTTTTAGTATCAATTTGTCATCCGCATCGTGATCGCGACAGCGCTATACGAAAAAGTAAGACAGCGATAATTACATGTCTATGAATGAATTTTTACTACGCCGTTACCGCAAGCGATTATGACATTATGGGTGACAGAGCGGATCTTTCCGCGAGTGTACAAAAGATTAGGTTATATTGCGTTGCCAATTTTTTAGTTCTAGGAAAGAAATCCAGGACTTCAGCCATGTACAAGTATCTTCCTGCATTATATAGAGTAGCCTGCGACTTTGTATGCTGAATCCCTCAGGATGCTCATGAATTAAAAATGTTTTCAGGAAAAAATACCTCTGGGTCAATCCAGGTAATAAACTACTATGTGTTCTCGCTTCCCTGTTTTTATGTGATTAAGTAACAAACATACAAAATTTAAATTTATAATATTAGTAAGATAAGTAGGATTAAACAGGTAGGTTACAAATTTTTAAGTTTTAAATCTCAGCGTTTTATTTAACTTACCAAGCATGTCTTGGTGGTGTGGATGCATTTGTGGGAAATGTGGAGGTGTAGCGAAGTGTGGTGGCGGAGAACCGAAAGATGAACCGGATCCATTAGATTTGTTACCGCTGGCGTTGTTATTGCGGAACTGTTGGTTTCCATTGCGGGAGTCTGTCAAAGTAAATGTGAGAACTCAATTAATAAACTCACTGTAAAATGGTTGTACTTTATAAGGTTATTTAAGGTCGTAGCAAAAGCTGACATATCATCACTGAAAGGAATCTTCAGAATCTCGATTGCCTCAACTCGGGACACGAGATCGTCCGGAGGCAGGCGATTACGTTAGGATTCCGATTAGTGTGCGTTGCCATACGGTGTTTCATACAAAGAATGCTGAACGGCTCGAGTTAATAATGTGGCAATCCCTTTCAGAGTTGATATCTCTATTACATTTGGGTATTTCTAATCAACACAAAGAAAAGATAAAACCGAACTAGTCAGGAGCTTTGTTACTGGAGAAAATTTAAATAAAATTTATTTATTCACACAAATAAAATTAAAAGTTGCTTGATTTGTCTATTAAGACTATTAATAAGTGAGCTCATTATATGCGCGGCGAAAAACCCGACAGTGATACGGCAAGCAAAGCATGTTTAGTCTTTTTATCAAATAGACAAATAGTGCCAATAACAACTTATCTATCCAAAGGCAGTTTTGATGTTATGTCAAATCAGTTAACTACCTCATTATTTCTAAAGCAATACGAGAATTGTCATTTAAAGTGCACCAAAAATGGCAAACAATTTATTAGAAAAATGTAACCAATAACTTACTATTATAAGATCGTTGTTGACCATAGCCGTTCTGGTTATTATAACCATTTTGATATCCATTGTTGTATCCACCTTGATAACCACCCATTGAATCGAAGACATTGGGACTTGGGAATGGCACCTGTTGTTTCTGGTAATTATTTTGCCTGTATCCCTGATTGGTCTGATTTTGATTTGTGAAGCGTGGAGGCTGTTGATTGGTGTTCCTGTTTTGATATGAATTAGTACTTGAATTGTCTTCATTGGTAGCATTAGCCATTTTGTTGTTCCATTGGTTATTTTGTTGACGTGGTGAACTGGAGCCACTGTTGTTTTCCTTTCTCTGCTGCCAACGGTTGCGGCCTGTTAAAGAAAATAAATAACAATAAATATTCTTATAAAGACATCATTATTTAAAATAAATTGCCCTAGTTTGGACTAGTTTATACTAGTATAAATAACTTACCGGAATTGTTGTTGTTATTTCTAGCCATGTCACTGAGCTTTGAAGGGGGGTTCTGGCCAGTTTCTCTCAATACAGCCACTAAGGCGCGCGATTGACGAGCATCGCCACTGGTAAAATATGTGTATGCTGTTCCAGATTGTTGGCAACGTCCAGTACGACCTTAAAAATGATAACAATATATAAAACATAATACTAGGGAAGCATGTTTGTGTTTAAGTATTAAATGTATGACACTTACAATACAATTTGTTGTAAATTTTACTTACCAATTCTATGGATATAATCTTCAGAAGAGTTGGGATAGTCAAAGTTAACAACAAACTTGACATCCTCGACATCGAGACCACGTGCAGCTACGTCAGTCGCAATCAAAATAGTTGTGGCTCCATTCCTAAATTCCGTGAGAACAGCATCGCGTTCTGGTTGAGACTTATCGCCGTGAATAGCGAGTGCCTTATGGCCATTACGACGAACAGCACGTGCAATGTCGTCAACCTAGAAAAAAATTTTTATACAGATTTAAGTTTTCCAATAATATTTCTTATAAAAATAAAACTTCATGTATAAATTACCTTCTTCTTAGTTTCAACAAAAACAATGACTTTATTGTCCCTCTCTGATGATATTTCTTTCAATAAATTCGTTAATTTATTTTCCTTTTCATGTTCTTCACATACTTCAATAATCTGCTTGATGTTATTATTTGCTGAAAGATTCAGAGATCCAATATTGACCTTGATGTAATCATTGAGAAAATCTTCTGCTAGAGCTTGAATTTCTTTGGGCCATGTAGCAGACCACATAAGTACTTGACGATCAGGCCGAATTTGTTCAATAATTTTACGAATCTGAGGCTCAAAGCCCATATCCAACATTCTGTCAGCTTCATCCAAAACCAGATAAGTGCATCGTCGCAAATTTGTTGTTCCACGTTCTAAGAAATCAATCAGTCTTCCAGGTGTGGCAATGACAATTTCCACTCCTCTTTCCAAATCTCTTGCTTGAGGGCCTTTAGGTGACCCACCAAAGAGACATGTATTTCTGATGCAGCCACGAGCACTGTATGCTTGAGCAACAGACTGGATTTGCTGTGCTAATTCGCGTGTTGGAGCTAGAACCAACGCAATAGGTCCATCTCCTCTCTGGATTCTCTGTTGATGTACAATATGTACTGCAGCAGGGAGCATATAAGCCAAAGTTTTTCCAGAGCCAGTAGATGCTATACCAACCATATCACGACCTGACAAGGCAATTGGCCATCCTTGAGCTTGAATACCAGTAGGCTCCGTATATCCTTGTTCTTTGATTGTAGTCATAACATGATCAGGGAAGTTACCTTCATCAAAAATTTGGTTTGGGCGAGGCACATTATTTCCGCTAACTGTAATCTCATTTGCTGCACGGAACATTTGTACTTCTTCATCTGATCGGCTCTCAACATTAGGGTGTGGCTTATAAAAGTCCTTCTGAATTGGTTCAAGATTTCCCAAGTCCCACATTGGTTTAACTAAGCTGTCTCCTGGATGCTTTGCTTTCTTGCTCTGTAATTTCCTGGCATTGAAGTCATTTGGTTGCTGTCCAGCAGTTTGATTTGGAAACACTTTCTTTGCAACATAAGTCTGCCCAGTGTTTCCATTTTGGTTGTTAAAGTTCTTGGGTCCAAAATTATTCTTTTGGAAATTTTGTTGTTTTGGTCCACCAAAGTCATTCTTAGGGTTGTAAAATTGCATGTTTCCTCCAGGTTTTGGTCCATTTTCATAGTCTTTCTTCTGACCTTGGTTGTTGAAATTGTTTCTAGGCCTATATTCCTTTGGTCCACCAAAATCATTTTGATTTCCATTTTCATTTTTCTGGTAGTTCATACCATTCATACCATTAAAGTCATTTCGTGGTCTGAAGTTATTTTTATTAGCAAGATTGTTTCTTGGGCCACCAAAGTTTTTAGGCCCTCCAAATTCTGGAAATCCATTGAAAAATGGAATTTTACCGAATTGTTCATTCCGGTCTGGTCGAGGTCTGTAACTAAAGAATGAAACATCACACTCAAAAAAAATAATTCAATCTTAAGTGTTGAATAATTATTTCAATAAAAGAAATCTGAAATCTTTAGAAATTACTTCTTAGTTACCGCTTATTACGCCTTGGCAGGAAACAAAACAAAAATTTTATGTGCTACTTGTGATGATTCAGCTGGGACCAGAGGCCCATGCAAGAATTTTAGATAGTTCCGTAACATATTGTCAACATCAAATTTTGTACGGAAAAAGCTAGTTCGTGTTTATGTTTTATGTTGACAAAACTGGGCGCTGCTAAGTTTTCATAAAAACTTTAACGATGTGATACGTTACGAAGCTGTCAAAAATTCGTCCTTGGGCCTCAGCTCTAGACGGGTTGGGAAAGTCACCATAGGATTCCATAAGCTGTCCATCGGCATAATACTGTTACTTTTATCGTTAATATTGCGAAACGACGGCGCCAGTGTCTTAACCCCTCCCTATTGGCCCCACTCAATTACAAAGAGTATTGTCATTTAAGTGTTTACTTTAAGAAATCGACTGAAGCCAGACACTAAATAGGCTCAATTTATACCGCCGTGGAACTGAATGGAAGCGATTTTTCCAACAAAATTGTGCATATCATAAGAACGAACTTTATGTCAATTGTTTATTATACATTTAGAAACTATATAGAATTCTCGCGAATGCGCAAGGATTCCGCGGAAGAAGCTCGCCTTTTCTTGGTTCGATTTATTTTGTATCTTTATAAAATGTCATAAATGTGAAAGTTTGTTACTCAATCACACTAAACTACTAAACGGATTTCGATAAAATTGTGTACACAATAATTTATGACCTTGATAATTTATAATAATTAAATAATTTAATAATAATTTATGACAGTATACTTTTATCCCGGAAAAAAATTAAGGTTTCTGTGGGGTTCTCAAAAAACTAATTAAAATTCGAACGATGTCCCGGCCGGCGCTAGTGCAACATAATTGACAAAGTTCAGCTATGCACAATTTCTTTGGAAAAATTTGGTTCCATTCCGTTCCATGGCGATATAATTTAAGTCAAAAAAGTAAAAGTATGGAGAGCATTACGGAACGGCAGCAGCGCCACTATTAACCATAGGAGCATGTAGGTAAACTAAAAGCAAGCCGCTTGTAAGCTTAACTGACGTGTATCAATAAGTTTCGCTATTCGTCACTAGAGGGCAGCAGTGTAGACTTTAGTTAAATTTTCTCAATTTATAGGTAATCTAACAAAATTCCATGTCTCAGTCACCATGGACAGGATTTAAACATGAACATTTTTTTTAATTAACATGTTACAGTTAAAACCCGTTTTTAGATAGAACGCGTTTTCCCTAGTTAAAATTAGTTTTTACTAAATGCGTTTGTTAAAAGTAGATATATCTAGTCAGAACTGGAATTTACCACAGATATATTTGATTTTCAGATAAAAAAACTAGTTGTCACTCCGAGCTTTAGTTAAAACTAGCACTAGAGAAACTAATGTGGGATTGAAAACAAGATATAGTCCTAAAAATATTTATTAAAAAGATCTAGAACACAAAGTCATATCGTCACTTATAATATGAATTACCGTAACCGCCAAAAGCCAATTTTTCACGAAGCAAAAAAGTAATTTGAAAATTAGAAAAATGTTATTTTATACTTATCCTTTTGAAATTACGTTTATAACAATTGTCTTAAATTTATTTGATCTTTTAAATAAACGAGATCTTAAAAAGCCCGCTATTTTAGTTTAGAAAATAGCATGGCGCTTACGCAATTTTTTTCTCAAAAAGGTGTGATTACGCATTATTAAAAACAATAAGAACAATATAAGGTAAGCAACAAAAACCTAAGAAAAATTCAAGGTACCCCATTTTCGAAATTTGGACTCAAGTTACTAAAAAGTTATTTAAAGGACTCAATCATATTTACTTGAAATAAAGTTCAATATAAAATAAATTCTTTAGTTTTAGTTAATTTATGGCAGGGTAGTAAGCTACAAATAAACGAGTTTATAAGTAGGTAAAAAACAGTTAAATAGTTAAAGTTAAAACTTTGTCTAAGCGTATTATGCTGAAGTATATTACAATGACATAGGGTCAGTTCGCCTGTTCGCGTCCATTTAGTGCAGTTGGAAAGTTTGACGGCGATAATAAAAATTAATAATTTAAGTAGTAGGTAAATAATAATTACATCTTTAAGAATAAACAGTAATCAGTTCTGTTAATTTTACCCTAAACTCACAAGGTATGTTTTTCTCATCGTCTTCTACATCTGAAATTAGTATATCGTCACATTCAGAAAATTTTGTTTCTTAAATTCCTGATTTACCATTTCCTGTGTGACTTCTTGAAGACCATGTACCTTCTTCTTTCATTTTGGAGCAGTCTTACGAACCGTTTGAGAGCGTTTTGAACTCTGTTCTTGTTTCTCTAATCGTTCTAACTTTCTTTTTCGTATTGCTTCCTGCTTTTCGTTCTTGATCTGCTCTTTATCTTCTTAATACTTACTCCATGCAGCAGAAGATATGGTTGCTAGAGTTCTTTGATTATCTTTTCGTGCTTTGTTAGAAATTTCGGGTAGCATCAGGTGGTGTCTGGTCCCGGTTTCTTTACTTCATTTGGTCTGCGCCCACTGATTTTGTACAATATGTATATGTGACTTACCGATTTATACTTTTCTCGAATTTCATTTAACGTTTTCTTTAAATCGTCTTCTGTGTATATTCTCTTTTCCTTCTACTATCTTTTCTGCGAAGAACTCATCTCAAATAGAAAAAAATAAGAATGAAACAAATAAAGTATTTGATTGATTGATTGAAATTACTCATTTAAAAATAGCTTAATAAAAATGTATAATAATAATAATCACTAATATTTTAAATTATAATTAATTAATTTTATTTAACGAAAATAGTGGACGTAATTTAGTTTATTATTATCCCCTGTAGGTATAGTTTGCGAATTGGAAGTTTTGTTATTTCGATGTAGTAATTCGCGTCCACCTTATTTTATTCTATAAATATAAAAAACATAAGAAAATTTATAATTAATATCATTCCTTTCTTCATTATAAAAGTCGAGAAACAGCTATGTATCCTAAAATTAACGTAAAAAAATAAAAAAAAAAACCATCAAACGCGCCGCTGCACACTATTTTTTATCTAAATATCCCGCCCGCATGTACGCACTCCCTTGATGAATAACCGAGACTATTTTTTTTTAAACGGGGTTGTTTGGCGCACCTGCCTTTTGACCATGTGTTCGTGCCTCTTATATATTAAGGTATTAGCGGTAATTACTTTTTGTTTGATTGGTGTGTTAGAATACTTATTTTTGAGGATTTTTTAAAGGAGATCCGTAAAATGGACGCGAATAGGGCGATGGACGCGAACAGACCCTATGCACTTAATTTTTGAAATTTATAAAAAAACTAGCTGACCCAGCGACCTTCGTACCGCCCCATAAAAAAATAGGGGTTGGTGTTAGAAGGGTGAAAATTTAGGGTTGTATGTATTTTTGAATGCTGTATCATAAAAAAAAATTCTAATTGAAAAAAAAAATTTAGGGGTGGATTACCCTTAACATTTAGGGGGATGAAAAATAGATTACATCCGATTCTCAGACCTACTGAATATGCATATAAAATTTCACGAAAATCGGTCGAGCCGTTTCGGAGGTTTAACCACAATCACCGCGACACGAGAATTTTATTAGATCTTTAATTAAATGTATGTTCATTGATTAAATTAAATTATATGATTGGAAAAAATAAAACATCTAATTATAAACTTATTGTATAAAACCTTAAATGCCTGATCCCAAGTTGTTTCCTTTTTTTATTAATGTTCTATATTGATTGTGTTAGAAATTGGCATTATTAGGTATAATAATAGGCTAGTTGTCTCATGAGGAATTGTATTAAATAAATGTTTATTTCTTAAAGTATTTGGTCTAAGGAACCTAAATATATCGATTTCACTTCATACAAGCAGAATATTGCTGTAGAAATTTAATTAAAAAAAAAATTTTAGTCTATACTTTTTAAACACTAAAAACGCTGTTCGCCACATCCGCCATGATTGTGACGTCTCTTTTAGTAAACAACTAATGTCATTAATACACAACTTTAAAACTTGTATAATTAAAACTGATAATAAATAAAGAGACTTAAAATATTATTCAATGAGTACTTACATCAAAGTGATCTTCGCAAAAATGAATTTTAATACCTATGAGTCGATAAAGTTGCAGGATCAGTTTTAGCAAGTTCTAACCAGGTATTGCGTAGGTTAATTTCTTTCGGCACCTTAATCCACAACTTTCCTGGAGTCTTCAAGGATGTGTTTTTACATTCTCGTACAATACAATAATGATAATTACTATATTTTTCGTGGTATCTATTACAAATCATGTTTTTTTTTATTATAAACTCAGTTATGTTATTTTCTACGTGCTTACGAGTTTCTGTTTACTACCGTCGACGTCATAGCATAGATAATCTAGACTAAAATGGCCGACAGCGTTTTTGTATGTCCATGAAAAGTCTATTTTAAAATTGAAGATTTGTAGCTTTCTAGGTCTCAAAAAATACAATACATTTTCTTTTGGTCTAATAGAACATTTATTAACCATTTAAAACCTTTTTCCAAAAAGGGTCAACTAGCCTATTCTTATTTGCTGTACCGGACAGGCTCCGGCTCGGTAATCTGATCTGTAAATAATTTGAACACCTGTTGTAGGTTATTCAGGTGATGTGGTTATTGAAAACAGTTTTAACTGACTCGTTTCGGAAAAACGCGTTTTGTCTAGAAAGAACTAGTTTTAACTGATATTCCATTTTGAGCATTAGTCAATTCTAGTTTTAACAACAAACAAATGCATTTAGTAAAAACTAGTTCTAACTAGGGAAATCGCATTCTATATAAAAACTGGTTTTAACTGTAACATATACACCATATAAAAAGAGTGACTGATACCAGCACCTCCTGCGTTACTGACTACATTGATTACAGCAGCTCTTCTTTGTATTTGCTGTGGTCTACTACTATCCAAACTAGCAGGTATTCGTTTACATTACACATTCAACATACATAATTATCAGACACAATGAAACAATGTGTATTAAGTCAATAATGTCTGAAGATTTTAGTATCTATATTAATATACTAGCTGACTCGGCGAACTTCGTACCGCCCAAAAGTAATAATTTGCAATAAATTAAAATTGCGACTATAATTTGAGATTTCTATCCTATCTCTCAAGTTGGATCGAACTGCACATGGTGTGCGAATTTTATTATAATCGGTTCAGTGGTTTAGGAGTGCATTGAGGACAAACATTGTGACACGAGATTTATGTATATTAAGATTTATTTTTGTTAAATTTTCTGACCATTATTAAAAATGGCATGCCTTGAAAATAGAAATGTCTTTATTTAATCATCTTTATTTGCAGAATATGGTAACAAATGGTGATACAGAGATAAAGAGCACCCTATATTCTAACCCAATGGGGTGTGCAAATTAATCATTATCATCTATTATCCCATTCATTGAGCATAATATAAAATACTTGGGGTGTGATCTACAATCGATACTGAAGCTAAAAATATAGTTTTAGAATTTTTGTCTGTTTGTCTGTATGTATGTCCGGGTTTAACTCAAAAAGTACTGCATGAATTTACTTCAAATTTGGAATGAATATTATTAAGAAGTAGGGTCTACATATAGGCTATATATTATCACGCTTTAATAATATTTGAGGAGTGTCTGTTCAAAACTAGCTATTTACATCAGAATGAATTTTACAGAAAATGCCAATAACGAATAATTAAAAATGCCTAATACATAGAATAATTTTGTGTGGTACACTTCACAAGATACAGTTGTCTAAGCATCATTATGAACAAAATTTTTTTAATACTTTGATTATTATTCTTTTAAAAAATGAAGACGTTTGTAAATAGACCCTTTTGATGCAGATGGTAGTAAATAGACACTTTAGTTTTGGATCATTTGGACTGGTTTGATAAAAAAATATTTGTAAATATCTATTTATAATGAGTTATGTTCTTGTATACATAATAGAGAGCACTAAGAATATGGTTAACTTTCTTTCATGTTGACTTTGGCACATAGTTTTCCCTTTGTTGTGGTTTGTGAGGAGTGAGTAGCTGAGTCAGGTATGTCTTGGTCAATTTTGTTTGTAAACTTAAATAGAAGTTTTCGATTAAGTAGCACTTGGTCAATAATAACAGATGACCATTTCAATTTACTGTTGCTTTTGTGATTGCAAGGTCTCTGAAATTTAACACCGGAAGGATCTTTATCGACATATACCTTACGTTTGGAAGTTTTGTCCCACTACACGCCTCTTGAGACTTAGCAAATTGGCGAATCTGTTTTCATTTATCTAATAATAAATTATAAAAATTTATGATAAAAGTCTACACTTACTACAAACACAACATCGAACAACAAACCACATAAGCGCTATAACGTCAAAACAAAAGATTCTTACGTTAAGTAAACATAGGAATCCAGCCATACTGCCAAGATTAGAATATATTTTCCGTTATACTTAATCATAATAACCTGCCACAAAGTATTTGAACTCTTTTGTTCAACATCTCAATCAATTCAACGAAAGAATAAAGTAACTAGTATGATTAGAAACTCTATAATCGTAAAATAAGATGAGATGGTAAACATAGTAGAGGTAGACAACACAAAAGATGGGAAGACGATCTACCCAAGAGTTGGCGACGAGCAGCCACAGATAGGAACCAATGGGCCAATTTGGAGGAGGCCTATGTCCAAGGACAACCTGATTGTACACGTGCCGATGTCAGCGATTAAACTAAGTTTTAATTTTAAGTTAGGTTACTTTTAACATGTATAATAAAGAATAAAGGCTATTATTATTTATTTTATAATCGTAAAATAAAATATATTTAAATTATGTAAATAACAAGTTTTTTATGGGATTCATTAAACCGAATCAAAAAAAAACCCAAAACAAGCTCAAAATGTAAATAGCTAGTTATGAACGCACACTCCTTTTAAAATTTGTTATTTGTTTACATTAAATACTTTTAAAAAGCACACTCCTTTGAAAATTTATTATTTGTTTACATTAAATACTTTTAAAAATAAAGACATTTCTATTTTCAAAGAATGCCATGTTTACAAATGGTCTAAAAAAAAACAAATGCAAAGCAGTAAGGTTAAGTTTGAAATTACATTTTGTTGCTAAACAATTAGTATTTTTGTTTTGTAATTCAGTATCTACCTTAAATCACTAAGTTAGATAAAGTTAAATTATTGCATTTCAACAGTGGCAATTCTTTTGGTTTTTATATTTTTCTGTAAGCATTACTCTGCAAGATTTATTTTACTACTTAAAATGTTACTAGAAGTTTTCTTTACAACAAATGTACAAGATGATACATACATTGTGAAATTTCAAACCAAAGTATTTATGACAACCAAACACTTGAGTATAGAGATGTCAGTAAAATATAAGCCCCATTAAAGGATTTAGATTGGTTTCGACAGTTCCAGTGCTAGAATAGTAAGTAATGGCTAGTTTAAGTAAATGCATAGTGATTATTAAATTGCAGGAAAACATTATTACATAATCTTAGAAAGTTGTTGCTAAGCTTGAAAAGGCAAATCTTTTAGAGATTGACTATTAAAAGTGTCATCAGTTTCCCGCTAGTTTCGTACTGCTAGGAAAGGCAGCCGTAGGCATATGGACTTCCTGTCCATTGCTTTTGCTTGACAATAAATAACGAATACACGTCTTTTGAGCAAATAAATATCCAAGGTCAAATTAGCTAACTAAATTACGATAAAAACAGTGCTTTGATCGTAATCAAACAGTACGTATATTACTGGCCTCTTTCTTGAAAACTACCAATCTACTTTCATTCGAATGGAAAGTGGTGTCTATTGAAGAATACCAGCAAATTTGGCAATACCTACCTACCCGTACCCACATAACACTAAGGTTCAGCTGGACAAAGAAAATTTTGTCGACGTATTACCCCAGCCCCCAAACACCAGTAACCGAAAAGATTTTTTTATATGTATTCGAAAAGAAAACTGCTGACGAATAATGAACAAAGGCTTGAGGTTGGTTGATGCCATTACATTTACCAAGCGACCATTATCAGCTGAGCTAACATTTCACAAAATGGCCGCTAATGAAAGTTTAGTTGGAAACAATTTTCAAATTCGACATTTTATGGAGATACTTAAAAGAAAAAATGGACTCACATTGGATGCTGATTGTGAAATCCGTTGTACTGCATAATTGAGCTTGCAATTAATCCTTGATGGACTGACGTGGTGGTATACGCTCGGGTAGATATCTAGAACACGAGTTAAACACAAATAGGTTTTACTATTGACTCTGAAATATATTTTGATTATTAAATGAAAAATTATCTAGTACAGAATCTTACCTCTCGATTATGAGAGAATTTGAAGAAAACTTTGGTTTTTCATTCACGCCAGACCTACTCTCAGACCCGGCGAACGAACAACTCAATAATGGCCGCCTTGAACGGAAACGGAAACGCCCATGGAAAATAGGTTACAGTATTGCCATTAAAATAATTATAGTATTGATTTTTCTTGTGCATCAAAATCTTAAGTTAGTACTAGACGCTCCAATAGGCTAGTTGACCCTTTTTGGAAAAAGGTTTTAAATGGTTAATTAATGTTCTATTAGACCGAAAAAAAATGTATTGTATTTTTTTTAAACCTAGAAAGCTACAAATCTTTAATTTTAAAATAGACTTTTCATGGACATACAAAAACGCTGTCGGCCATTTTAGTCTATAGATTATCTATGCTATGACGTGAACTGTCGTAAACAAAAACTCGTAAACACGTAGAAAATTACTTTTAACTGAGTTTATAATAAACAAAAACATGATTTCTAATAAATACCACGAAAAATAAAGTAATTATCATTACTGTATTGTACGAGAATATAAAAACACATCCTTGAAGACTCCAGGAAAGTTGTCGATTAAAGTGCCGAAAGAAATTAACCTACGCAACTTTATTACACTTATTCATATGTTGTATCAGTTTTATGTTTATTACTACATTGTAATACTAAATGCACTGTACTTACATAAATGCCTTGTCGTTTCTCTGCTCCGCAGAGCAGAAATCGGGGTTTAGTGCAACAAATTCACCAACCATCAATGCGTCAATTCTTGGCAGATTTGTGCTTTCTGCTTTTACAAAGCCGGCATCCATAATTAGTTTTGTCAAAAAAAAAACTAAGTTTACTGTTTTTTTCTTTCCTAAAGTTAAAAGTGTTTTATGATAAATTTAGTCAGACGAAAGAATCCCTACAGTGTCAGTAACACGCGAATGACATTTAGTTGTTTACCAGATAAGACGTCAAAATCATGGCGGATGTGGCGAACAGCGTTTTTAGTGTTTAAAAAATATAGACTAAAAAATATTTTTTAAAATTAAATTTCTACAGCAATCTTCTGCTTTTATGAAGTGAAATCGATATATTAAGGTTCCTTAGACTAAATACTTTAAGAAATAAACATTTATTTAATACAATTTGACATGAGTAAACTAGCCTATTTGGTTAGACCCTACAATAGATGCAAAGACTACACAAAAAATCCGCAGAAAACCATCCGGACCAGAGTCCAGATACCAGCACGATATTGCGGAGCGAATAAACTTGATTCGTGCATCCTTAGCCTAAATCCCCCAGTGCCTTCAACAGCATTTCATTGGACTTCAACCTGATTTTCCTGTAATACTTGGTTTTTAAGCTGATCAAACTAATGCACCATGCGGGAACCCTTGCCTTTATACAAGGGTACGATGACTACGCATTATCTCAGAATAAACCATGTCAATTCCCTCTGCTTTTACATTTTTCAGGCTTCGTATCGACTCGTTTACTATCTTATCTATAAAAATGTCTTCTTCGACTGTTGGCACTGCCGAGCATATTTCAGGTTTACGAAACTGTTGACACTGTCAACAGTTTGGGCACAATCATAAATTTCCCCAAAGTATTTGCTCCACCGCTCTACCACTTCGTGTTTGTCAGCATGAATTTAAATGCATTTATGGAGATTTTTTATATATTATTTTGTCAATCTTTTATATATTTAACTATATAAAAGAATAAGAACAATATAAAAGCAAAGTTAACTGAACTAATGATTTATTTGAAAAAAAAAATGATTTTTAACAATTGATAAATGTTTAAATCTAAAGAAAATGTTACTCGAAAAAAAAACCATGCAGACCAGGCAGCAGACAGGACTCGAACCAGCAAACTCCGTTAACCGCTTAGAGCATTTATACCTGGAGACGGCATGGACGGCCGTTCCCTTCGCCTAAACGATCATGGCCATAGGCCATTAATAAAACTAGTTAACGCGCGACCGCTACCATTTTGGATCGTTCCGCAGCGTCAGTCGGAGTTCCCAAAAAAATGGAAAATTATGTTGTTTTCCCACGCAAAAACCGATCTGCCATTTTAATCTTGCTGAAACATGGTGTTTCCTATCATATACAAGTATTTTTAAGTTCTAAAAAGTTAGTATTTAGGTATAAAATTAAATTAAAAGAAAAGGCGCGGAATCACAAATGAATGACAAAAATAATAGTTAGAAATTTATAGTGATGTGACAAAAATGAATGAAATGAATGAATGGTATTTTTTATACTTAAAAACATTCAACCAGATTTAATCGATCTGTCAATACAAATAGAATGTTGATAAAACAAATATACATCGACAGATCCTATAAAAAAAACCAATTAATATTCAATCATTCACGCTCTATAACTTAATCAAACAAAGGTGTCGATTTTTGCTTGGTTCTCTAAGCTTAAAACTAAATTTATTATTAGTATCTTTTTTCATTCTGTATTGAGGATGACAAGTATACACTTGTCAAATTAAAGTTTAGAGAACGCTTCCATATTCGACACCAAAATCTTGCTTTCGACGTTGAAATACGATAATATGTTTTAAAAGTACTTTATATCGATGCCGGTAAATAGCCACATAAAAATTATAAACAATAATTAAGTGTCGATTCTGGCATGCATAATTCTCTTGGCTAAATTTAACATTAGTCACTCCTTTTCATTCTGTATAGAGAAAGACAAGGATACAATTGTTGTCAAAAATTTAAGCTTTAGAGAATTATGCCGGAATCGACACCATAATTAACTTACTATTTTTTTGTGTTTGTTTATTGGCAATACAATTGTGTCAATTCTGGCATGATTCTGTACTTAAAACTAAATATATAACATCAATCTCTCCTTCTCATTCTGTATAGGAAATGACAAGGATATAGTGGGACCAATTCTGGCGTTACATTCTCTAAACCTAAACTTAAAATTAGAGTGCTAATTTTAGTTTAGGGTTAGAGAATTGGTATTCTGAAATTGCTAACTAAATTAAGAGAACAGTTGACAGCTGTAAACGAGCATCTAAATTGAATTCACAGGTTATGTAAAAACATTGAACCGGTAATTATCGGTTTACTCAAAGTACTTATTATTCAGTGATTTTGACTTATTTTTTCATTTTATTTAAGTAAATCTTTGTTGTTCTTCATCATCTTTGAAATATGAAAGCTTAACATAACTTTGTTATTTTACTGTATGAGAAATTATGAATCAATAATATTAAAGAGTGAATACTTGCCTACTCTGTGGTACTTAGGGTTTCTAGATTGGGAGTGTTTATCCTTATTTTGGGGAAAAATAAGAACTTGAAGAAATGTAATCTGCGGGGAGAACTTAAGGAATCATATTTTTTCTTTGAAAAAGCCAAGTATTTACTTGGGCTAAACGATGTGACGAAAAAAAATTACAAAGAAGTGCATCGAATGAGCAATTAGGTAGGTACCATTGCGCCGTGATGCAGTCTAATCATTCAGATGAAGTAAATAGGGTAAGTGTACTCGTCCGAGCAAAAACGTTTATTGTTTTGTCTGATGTATCACTACGATTGCCCGGCGGCACCGCGCCGGCGCTGTATTCATGCAATCCGGCGGCCGTGGCCGAGCCGAGGCGGGACCAAATTTTTTCCGAGCGTTGTTTCATTTGTTGCTCGGTTGTCAGTCGGTTACTGCATGAAAACCGAGCATATAGCGTATAAATAGCGTGAATGTTATATTTTACATGGATTATGGACATAATCCATGTAAAATAAATTATTTAATATTAATTAACTAGAGAAGTTCGATGGCGCAGACGATTAGCTCGTTCGGCTGCGATCGTTGAAGTTAAGCAACTTTCGCAGTGGTCGGTCATTCGATGGGTGACCAAAAATCTTCTATGTCGAGTTCCTCGTTCTCCTGGCTGCATCCGCAGTCGTTAGCACCCGCCAATCCGCACTGGGCCTGCGTGGTGGGTCATGGCCTAATCTCTCTATTTCATCCATAGGGAAGGCCTGTGCCCCAGCAATGGGGACATTAAGAGGCTGATGATGATGATGATGATTAGTTAACTCTGCTACGGCCGACAGGGTCTAACGTGAAACATCCTTGAAAATTTCTCGCATCGTAAATTCCCAATCCAGCGTATCTATCTAATACCTATAATTTCGGTTTCGGTAAGAGGTTGTAAAATTATCCCTTCGGCTGTTTTGTGAAGATTTTATTCTCATTTATTGTATAATCCGAGATGCGTAACCTATTTTTATCTTTTTTATTTCTATCAGTTTTTGGCGAGATCATCCCAATTATTCATTTGGTGAAGATGCCCAGTTTAGGATATATAAAAACAAACTTTTCAATTACAAACAGTAGGTACTTATTTCGTGTTTGGTTATTTTAAGAAATATGATTAGCTTATAAAAAGTTGGAAATAAAAACATTTCTAACTAATAGGTATTAAAAACTGCTTCATAGAAACAAAACCATATAAAACAAAGGAACTAAAATAATACATTAAAGTCTCAAGTACCTACATTTAAAGTCAAAACAACATTTGGATTGCAATTGGTGATTGGAATGCAAATCACTGACACCATACCTCTATTATCTTGTTAATTATTTGACTATGTACTTTAGATATAAGTAGGATCTGTAAGTATTACTTATAGCAGTGGTTCTCAAACTTTTTAAATGACGGAACCCTTTTGGGAAGCAAAATACTTGATGGAACCCTACAATAAAACAATTATTTTTATAAGTGTATTCTATATTAATCAGCATAATAAAAGTACAATGTATCCGTTACTAATTATTATTTACTTCACCACTTGGTAAGGACAATAATAGAAAACATTAAAAAAGAAAAAATCTAACTAGTGGGAGGTATGAAACTGTTTTTTATTTTTCATCAATTGCTTGATATCAGGTTTGATGGAAGAAAGTTGGAGTCTCATATCAGCTTCGGCGTCCAGTCTATTGCGATATTTTGTTTTCGTGGCTGCGTAGGTAGAGAATCCTGTTTCGCACAAATATGTAGTTGGGAACGGGAGAAGAATATCCAGAGCCATTTGGCCAAGCATTGCATATTCATCTTGGATTCTGCACCAAAAATCATTAAGA